GTGTACACATGATTCCCGAAATACGTGATTCCCAGTGATTCCCGTCCGCCTCTATTTATTCCTTAGGTTTTCTAGTCTAGTGGTACAAAACGCTTATTAATTACTGATTTGAAGCAGTTTCACTAGTTCCCCGCTTAGTTTAAGCGATTTCTGTTGATATCGATTATTTTTTATCCTGATGATTCCAAGGCAGGTGTACATGATTCCCGGAGTTATTGCCCCCTCGGGTATTAGTATTACTAGTATTTTCAAGACGTACCAGGTGGCTGACTCACGCCGCACACTTTTGTAGCTTTACTGTACCGCATGCACGGGAGAGGGCAGGTTTGCCTATCCACGCTGCCCACGGCTCCATGGCCCCGTACGAGTAGGCAACCAGACCGCACGCGTGCATGCGGTACAGTATAGCTACGAAAGTGAGCGGCGTGAGTCAGCCACCTGGTATAAAAGAGCGCGGAAGCACTGGAAAAACAAAGGTAGGACTTAGTACCTTATAAAGGAGCCAAATTTAATGCCTTTAGAAAGGTACGGGGGTCCCGAGAGGCACTAAAATTTATCACTTTTTTGACATGTTCGTGCCTTTTCAGGGGGTGCGAATCTTTTAGTGCCTCTGTAAAGGCACGAAAGTGATTAACACCCCAAGAAGGGTCTAAGGGTCTTGACTCCTACATTTGTTTTTCCAGTGAGAATATCAGGGCACGGCGGCGCGACGGGCAGGGAAGAAGAAGAGGAAAGAGAGAGTGAGGGGGTGTCGGGGCAAAGGGAGGGGGAGGGGGGCTCAGGCACAGTCCGCCGCGGCAACAGGCCAGCCACGGCCGAGCGTTAAACTCAATAGGATACGCGGAGACGCGACGCCAAGGACTGGCTAATGAAATTGCGACATGCAGCAGCCCCCGCCCCAGTACAGCCTGGAGGCGGCTCCCTCCAGCCGGAGGCCGCGGAGCGCTCAGGGCCACGGGGAAGTACCACAGCACGCACACGTCTTTGAAAGAGAAGTGGCGGACAGTACTACGCACGCGAGGGGGGGGGGAGGGAAGTCTACAGAAACTTTTTTGGCAGCCGGCACAGACAAACTTCTCCTTGACTGCTTACAACACGAAAAGTGTTTCTTTGTAGAATAAAATAGACAATAAAAAGAAGACCTCACCGGTTTGCATGCAACATGTTGTTGGTTGCAAAAATTGTTTTGTTCGTAAAAAGGGAAACCCTCTGCTCTATTTTTGCACCAGGTGATGCTACAGAGACGTCCTGCAAAAACCACGAAAGGTACGGTATTTACACCGCGGGACAGCAAAAATACTACAAACTTTTGTTACAACCCGTTCGCTAACCTCGGCCAAGCGGGGAGGAGGCGCTGAGCGACACGGCGGGATGGAAGGGCGGGTGGCGCAGGGTTGGGGGCGAGTAGAGACAGTGTCCAGGCCGGCCTCCTGTCGGTCGTGGCCTTGGGGCGGGCGGGGCGGGGCGGGCGGGGGAAGACCAGCTGGTCCACTTCCACGTGATATTCTGGTGCACAGTCGGTACACATTTACCCAGCACTATCCGCGCAGCACAGTGCCATACTGCCGACATAGCGCCGGAGCGAGCCAACCAGAGGCGGCTTCATGATAATAGTGCCTGACGTCCCCACCGGAGGCAAGAGACGCGGACTTAGCGAACAGGATCATGAAATATAAATAAGGTCTTTTAACATAAAACAAAAGCAGAGGGACTTGGAAAAGGTGAGGGGAGGGGGGCATAATTCAACAAAAGCTTCTACGCTGCTCCTCCGCAACCAGACCAGCGCCGCCGCGGCTGACTTTGGAATTTGTTTGTGTTAGTTCGCGTTTTGCCGGGCGGCGCTGCAAAAAGACGCGAGGAGGGTCAGGTGGGGTCGCCACCTGGCCCTCGCACCTGGTCCACACCGGGGGACTCCACGGCGGGATTACGAGGAAAAATATTAAGATCTCTCAAAGCCAACGCAAGAGAGAGAGCGAGAGAGTTGGGCAGCAGAAGCGGAGTTGACGGGGAGGAGAGAGTAGAGGGGGAACAAGTACCATCCACAGGGATGAAAACGGATGAAAACTTGGTCCTGGTCGAGCCTGCATGGTCGGTGCACGGCGCGGCAGGACATCAACGGTATATAGTGCGTGGACCATCCAGGACCAGCGAGGCGGTGGGGCAGCAGGGCGGGGCTGGCGGTGTGCAGCAGCGCGTCTCCTCACCCCCTTCCCTCCGGGCCCCAATAGTCCCTGATGCCGTCCCCTGGACGCTTCCGAGCCCGCCCCTCCCCTCCTCTCCGCCCTTCAAGGTGTATTTGTCTATGCTAATGCCTGATTATCGGCCACACCCCACGGGAGGCGCACGGGCGGGCCGAACCCCTATCGGGCTCCGATCCCTTCCCTGCTCACGGCGAAAGGGGGGGGGGGCGCAAAACAAATGTGTATGCGAGAGGCCTAATTGTGAGAAAGAGAGAGGGGAGGGGGAAGCGGCGTGCTGCTTCTGCTTAGTGCAGGGACCATGAGGAGGGGGTCCAAACAACGACGCGCAGCCGGTCTCAGCTAGGCTATGATGAGCCAGGCTGTAAATAAAGTCACCTCGTAGAAGCCCGGCGAGCGACGCTCAGAGATGTTAGTTATTTCTTCACAGAAGTAAAACTGCTGTCCGAGTGAGAGGTGCTCGCTCTGCCTAGCACCCCCGACTGCCCGGCCCCAGCAGGTAGAGTGTGCTGAGCCCCCCCCCCCCCCCCCCCCCCCCCCGGAGCAAACATCTCCGCTTACACTTACTCACCCCTCAGACAACCTCCCCTTTCAATGAGAAGGTACACGGCGGATCCGTGAGTGCCAGGCGGCCCCCGGCAGTCAATTCAGTTCGCACAAGCCTCCTATATTACACGGGAAAAAAACAAAGGTGCTCACGTAAGACGGGCCTTTCTTGGGGCACTAACCGTATTCTGAGTTTAGTGCCCCTGCAAAGGTACTAAAGGGTCCTAAAGGTGCTAAAAATTAGTGCCCATGCCCATGGCGGTTTTTAGGTACCTTTTTTTAAAGGTGGGACTTTGCTTAGCACCTTTGTTTTGCCAGTGTTTACTCGAGTTGTACCTGGGCGAGCGGCTCGCACACTACTTTGTAGTTCTTGCACCAGGTGTCTGATTCGCCCCGGACCGGACCTATACTCCGGAGACGGACTAAATTCTTAAACGATTCCCCCCGACTCGTTTGGGGTCGTGTTGGCTCTGACCGGGTCGGACGGCCAGGTGGTGGCGCCCGAGGCGCGCGCTCTCCCGAGTCCACAGCCACGCTCCGCGCGCCCGCCCGCTACGCCAGCCCGGCCAGGCGGGATAACTCTGGCGAAATGTAAATGACTCTTTTGTCTCCTTATTATATAAGGGCCAACTTGCCGGCGCAGAGGGGCGGAAGGAGGAGAGAGGAGCGGCAGTAAGCAGGCTAGAGAGGGCGGAGGGCCAGGGGACGACCCCAGTGGCACCAAGCTGAGCGGATCTCGCGATGCCATTCATTTGTCGTCAGCGTTATACCACATTTTGTCTAAAAATGTTGGCAACAACAAGAAAGTTGACACCTGAAGTGGTGGTCGAGCTCGCCGCACCGCGACCGGGGGGGAGGGGGTTGAGGAGGCAGCCGCGGGCCGGAGCGCTGAAAGTTAATCCTTTTACGTATTCCATTTTCGTCGGGGACCCCAGCCCAGCTCCACTCCTGGGGCCCAAGGAAATGGGGTGTTCTATGCCCCTGGGCCCGAGGGGAAAAACCTTCCGGCCGGCCTGCGCGAGATGGGTACGCCAGCCCGGCGTACAGCACAGCGGTGCATCGCAGCCACCGGCGGGGCAGGCGGGGCGAGTATGCGTACCTCACATCCCGCACGACATCTCGGAGGGGACGCAAAGTCCGGCAGATGGAGGAGGCGGGGAGCCGCTCACCGAGCCTTTCTCTCACGGAGGACGAGGTTCTCTTCGCGTCGCGACGCGCAAGCGCGGCGGCGGGCGGCGCCGAGTCCAGCCAGAGCAGCGCGGCCCGGCGTTCGGCAGCGTGATCGAGGCACGACTGAGAGGGAGGCGGGAGGCAAGGCAGCAGCGAGAGAAGGGACCCTCCGCTCTGTGGCGCGGCGTGGCGGAGGGGGTGGGAGGTGGAGGGAAAAGGGGTGGTGGCTGGGGGGGGGGGGGCGATTACCTACCCCCAGCCAATGTCAAGCAATTTGAAGATAGCGCGGCTATTGGGTGAGGGGCACGACAGGTCCGACGTCCGACCCGACCTACGGTCCAAACCGGTCCGAACCTTGGTCCGGATAGAGCTCTAGAGGTCCGGGTGGTCCACCCATGATATGCACATGGCATGACGGCATAGTATGTTGGGCACAACGTGCAAAGCAGTGCGGTACGGTGCGGCCTGCTCCCCCTCTATCCCACACTGAGAAAAATATTTCTGTCCGGGCACTAAACGTACGTCTAATGCTCCCGACTTTTGTCCCAGCTCAAAATGAGATAGTGACCTGCCATTGAGTATTAGTGCTGTGCTCTAAATTTTCTTTGCCTGAGATGCTACGTTTAGCTCCCAGCGCTAGACGTAAAGTGCAACGAAAAAACGTCGATCTGGGTCTGGGGACTAAACATATAGTGCTGAAACAGATTTTTTTTTTCTCAGTGCACTCCCTTCTCCCCGCTCCGCATCGAGGCAGACGGTTCGGAATACAGAAAACGACAAATTGTCATCAATTCGTTTCAAAATTATTTATTACTGATATTAAATAGCTATTACCTGAAAATCTAAGTGATTAGGTTTGCCTCCATTAGATTGCTGCTTCCTCAGTTGGTGACTTCACTTCTACAAATAACAGATATTCTCCTATGTCGAGGAACTATGTTATCATTAAATCTTGACGTATCTTTCTTCAGTATCTCATGAGTAAAGTTGTAACGGGCAGAATCCCTGAAAGGAAAAAGCATTATTTTAAAATTTGATCAATTGTCATTACATTAATCATAATCTAAAGGCTTGACTAATTGCATACCTCATCACATAAAGGGATCTTTGCTTTAGCAAGACATCAACAATTTTGTTGGCATCCTTATCATGAACCAATCTCATTACACTGTCAGAGAGAAGACTGAGACCAGCAATTGTATCTCCACAAAACTGCAACAAAAGAAAAACATTTTCAGAGCCAGATTATGTTTGGTTAGGTGAAATAAAGATGAGCTTCGTAAAACTTACTCTAACACTATCAATATGAGGCTTAATGAACCCATTCTCTGCTAAATCAAGAACATGGACATGTTTTAATTGAGGTTTCCCTTTAGGGAAAGCAATCTGTCTCACTCTGTCAAGTATTGCTGTGCTTGGTTTTGTCCACTGAAGACGTTCAGTCTCTCGAAACCCATGGATAGCCTAAAGATTGAAATTTAACAGTTATGATATGATTATGAATAACTTAATTTTCATTCGCGCATTATTTTAATTTTCATAACTGTAAATCTTTCTTTTTTTTCAGTTGGTCTTTAAATTGACAACTTACGTTATCCCAGTGATCATACTCGTATTGAAGTCTTGATATGATTGGTTCTATCTCATCAATAATACATTTTTCTTCAACATCTGAGAGGAAATCGTTATGAACAATCATGTCCTTCAGCAGTGCTTCACGTTCTTCAGGAAGTATGTCTTTACTAAAGTTAAGATGATAAGAATGAGACAATGTCTTGTCAGATCCAGCTTTGCATTCATGAGAAAACGCCCGTGTCTTGTGAATCAATGGGTTAATCAGATCCTTTTTTGTTCCGCCGGCTCTTTGAACCAAAGATAAAAAGGGAGCTAACCTTAAACTGTTTCTATACAACATGATTTTGGATCAGCTGAAAGGGTTTAACTAGGCTCATCAGTGACGAAGATGTAAAGCGTGGAGCGAAATGTGTAGGATACTGTCAACATTACAGCCAATCACCACAGGTTAAGGAAAAAATACTGTATAGTTTGGTCCAACGATCACTCCACCCCACCTCATCTAAGCCATGAGACGTCTTCTGCTACGGTACGGTGAGCAGCTGATGATGCCAACTTCGCGACAACAAAACTAATAGATAAGTTGTACACTTTGGAAATCCTCCTAATAATTTATTGGTTTGGAGATGTTTAAAATCTTTAATCTTAACAAAATGTCTTGTTCTCTAGTTAATTAATTGAAGTGTTGGGATCAACAATATCAAACGCAATCGTCTCCTCGGTTGGGCGCGCGGCGGCTGCTAAACTAGCTTCTGCTAGCCGGCCCGGCATTTTGCTCTCGATGTATGTTTACATTTTGGTGTGGTGCTTTGCGCGTTGTTCGTTGTCCTCGGCTCTCGGTTGTTTGAGCTGATTGAATTAGTTGGTGATAAGATAAGTTCTGGAAGCGCTCCTGCCGTGGGACTGCCGAGAAAACAGCTCAACGATCGTTGATTTTTGAAGGTGATTCAGCGAATTGAAATTCTTTGGGATGCTTCCCGTCCCATCCTGTCCGTGTCAAAGAAAGGCAAAAAGAAGAACACTCTAGCTTGCACATAGGAAAACAAAGATTCATTTGTTTAGCAGTCAACACAGTCAACTGAAACTCAATCTAGATTCACAAAATACTGTGTATGTGGCTTTTACGTATATTTGGGCGCTTTTTGGCCCACTTATTCATTTTTAGGACTAGTGCTAAGAGTAAAAATATTTGTTCCTGTTTTTTTTACCGAGTACATGCCGGCAAGATGGCTACCAAACAAATGACTTCTTGTTATGTTTCACAAAAGCAGCCCCCGCCGTCTGTTGTCTGTTCTTGCTTTTGGTCTTCACTTTACTGCTCCTTTGGATAGTCCTAAGCTCCTTTGCTTCGGCTGTATTTTCGGGGTTGATAGTGATAAGTTATTTGTCAAAGGCTTTTGTTCGTTTGTGTCAGGGTAAGAAGTTCAGACCCAAAATAAGATAAGGGTCCAGTAGTTAATTACCTGGCCAAAACAGTTCTCAAGCTACCACACCTTAATTAGTTTGATAATATTATCTCACCTTGACTTGTTTTAGGGAATGCAGATCACACTTAATTAAGCAAGATCATTGGAAGAGTCAGTCAGCATTTTAACTGGAGTTGTAGGAGTGCATAGTTACAATGACTGAGGAGAAAAAGAAACCTAACTATCTGAAGGCGGCTGTTCGTCAGATAGGTGCTGGAGGATCTGCAGGTTTGTTCTTCTTCAGGCTTTCTATATTTATGATGCAAATTGTTTTTGAATAATATACTACAGACAATTTTTCTTTTTTAGGGTTTGTTGAAGTATGTATCATGCATCCTCTTGACTTGATAAAAACACGTCTGCAAGTGCAACGTCTTCCTCCCGGCAAGGTTGTCTCTAGGACCGAAATGAATTTGTATTCTGGTATTGGCGATTGTTTTCGGAAAATGTATCAGTCTGAGGGCTTTTTTTCATTTTGGAAGGGTGTCTTCCCTCCTATTTTGGCTGAGACTCCAAAGAGAGCAGTGAAGGTTTGTATTGCCTACAACAAATCCAACTATCTATCATGATGCACTCTAAATGAGATATTTTCCCTCCCCAGTTTTTTACATTTGAACAATACCAGCAGTTCTTCCGTTTTGGATCACCAGTTTCTACACCAGTTGTAAGTCAATTTACCTTTCCTAAAGAATCCAGGTCTATTTTTATCCATTTTTTGTTTCCAAAATGTGCATTAAAACTGCCTGCAATTCAGGCTCATGAAATTAAATACACTCTTTATATCTCTCCAGACATTTTGTTTGGCTGGCTTATTTGCTGGTATTACTGAAGCTATCCTTGTAAATCCATTTGAAGTGGTGAAAGTAACTCTTCAGGTAAATCGATCTCAAACTACACAGTCTCCATCAACATGGAGTGTCACAAGGGAAATTGTTCGTACACAAGTAAGTCTCATTTCATTAAAAAAAAATAGTTTTGTTTTCCTTTTAGGATACGCTTTTTAAATCTGATTTTTGTTGTACAGGGTTTGGGGCTTAATGGCTTGATGAAGGGCTTAACAGCAACCATAGCTCGTAATGGTGCTTTTAATATGGTTTACTTTGGATTTTACCACAGTGTCAAAGGACTAATTCCTCAAGCCAAGGTAAATTATTTAACTTTAGGTGCTTTATTTCATTTTAATTGGCTAAGGTTTCATCGTGGTTTTTTTTCCTTTTTTCAGGGTTCCTGGCAAGAATTTTTCAAGAACTGCGGTGTGGGATTTGTGTCTGGTACCTTAGCCTCTTGTGTGAATATTCCATTTGATGTTGCCAAAAGTCGAATCCAAGGTCCTCAACCTACACCAGGAGTTATTACCTATAAGGGTACTCTTCGCACCATGGGTATGGTGTACAGTCAGGAAGGGTATGTCCAGTTGATTTATTCCAGTCTATTAGTGTCATTTCATTGTTCAAGAACATCATTTGCTATTACTTCTTATTTCAATGTTACAGATTCCGTGCCTTGTACAAAGGTCTGTTGCCAAAGGTAATGAGATTAGGTCCAGGTGGTGCTATAATGCTCATTGTATATGAGCATGCACATGCTTACCTTACAGAGGTTTTCCCCGACTGAATCAAGAAGTTTTTCTGGTTTTAGGAATAGGTACCCACCCAATTTTCTGCCCATACTCTTCCCTCTTCCTAAGTAGTTGGCTTGATACTAATGACATTTACAACTTTATAGAGCACTGACAATCAAATCATGTTGCATTCATTTACCAGTCAAATTTTGCAAAGCCTTAGTCATTTTTTTAAGTTATAGTTATTTTAAAACCTGTTATGTAGTATGATAATCATCTTCTCAGTCATTACTATGTATTGTATAGTATGTTTAGCATTACCCCTAGGGCTGTGGATGAAAAAAGCTATTCCATTTACTGACGGGAGTATTATTAACATTTCTTTCTCTGGTTTTCCATGTGATACAACCTTTATTGTTATGATTTCGTTTGACTTAATTTGCAGAAACAAAACAAATCAATCTATTGGTTGGCATATGATGTATTCTTGACTGATCAGAATACTGGATGAGCTGTTGTTCACATCTATTGCATGATTGGTTTTATGGTATTCATTTCAGGGCCCAAAACGAAAATATAGTCTGAACAATTATTATTATTGCTTTTATAATTGCTATTATGAGTTTATTAATTATTTTTAAATATGCTGTATTGTAATGTATTTTGTATGTACTGTGCGCATTTACTTTAAATGATGTAGGTATGTACTTATTTTCTACCATGAAAAACTGTTGTTTTCATTAATGAGAATGTGTTTACAGTCTTCCACAAAGCATGCTAAGAAGAAATGTCTAGGTCTTAAAACAACATAATTAATAGTTATTTTTTGACTGCATTGTATAGCTGAACCATTAGCACACATTTGCTTATGAGATATACAATTTTCCAATTCATGACTTTGTGCCACATTTCAAGAGTGCCAGTTTCTTTTTTATGACAAAAGTGTTAAAGTATGTATTTTTGTGCATCTATGCTAATGTTGACTGCAAAATAAAATAAATGACTGCTATTGCTTTCATTTTATGACTTATTCTGGGTCAATTCATACAAGTTACGCTCTCTTCTTTGGACTGATCTGCTGCCTTAGTGGTAAACGTCAAGTTCTCTGATAATGCCACACACGGATCCTTTGTCTCGAAATAGGAAAACAGGAATCAACTCGAATAGTCAATACTAGCTACAAACATGACACAAAAAATTGAATGCCCCCACCCTCCTAATGTTCCTCAGAGAGGAACCCTTCAGTGGGAGGGTTTTGAAAATTGTGGATTTAGTAAGTCTGTCTTTTTTGCCTTTATGCTGTTTTACCGGCGAGTTTTTTTTTTGCTTTTTTTGTTGGACCAGCACCCTGGCACCCCAATGCTCACCTGACGGCAAGACACGCCTTTACTCCTTAGCACCACTATCTTCTGTAAGAGGTGTCCGATGAGGTCCAAATCCAATTTGGCAAAGATTAGACCAGAGGAGCCTTCCAGTGTGGGGACCTAAAAGAAACTTAACCAGGACACAAATGAAACAATTCATAATTGTGTTGGAGGGTACATTTATTAACTCCTTTACAAAGAAAAATGTTTTAAAGTTACAATCACATTCCGAACAACAAGTAATATGGAGGTATTTATGATGTACCCTCCTTTACACAGCCCTCATATAAACGTCAGTACTGACCTTTCGACTTGGCACACCGTTAAATTGTTCGGCTTCAAACAATTCTTTGTTTATTTTTCGCATGGGGCAGTAATTTTGTATCTTTCTAAGTCATACACAATAAACAAAGGATAAAATCCTAAGTGAATTTTGATAAATTTATGGTTCTAATACAAAAGTTGCTATTGCTCTATGAAGTATTCAAGATTATTTAAGGATAATAACTATATTTTCTAGGGATGAAAACAAAGATAGATGGAAAAGAAATTTCAGACTCAAAAATTCTAAAAAGATTTTGCAGCTACGATTGCTGAGGTAGAAAGCTAGTAACATTACCCCAATCTGGAGCAAAATAACCTACACATCATATATTGCTTACATAATTTAGACATATTTTGGTAAAATAGTATTGCTGATACATTGTATATTTTCAGTGAATTGGATCATTAGTTCTGGTGGTTTGATTACATCTCAATTTCATGATGTTACACTTTTATACATGCTGTTTAAAAAACAGGAAGACTTTCTTTGAGGCTGATAGTACTTTACAAAACATTGATAGCTACAGAAGGCTATAGCCCGGTATAGCTCATGTATGACCATTCATGGTAATATTTTTCTATAGAAAAGGCAGGCTATTGAAGAAATATTTCTTGTTGACTGCCTTCTTATCCCCCCTTATTTTTGAAGCCATTTAAAAAGGTATACGGTTCAAATTATTACTTTTAATAATAAAGCAATACACATAAGTGCACTGATCTCTTGATTACACCTAAATCAATAAAAAATACTGAATGAAGACTTGCAGATTACTAAGCATTGGTAAATTTAATATTTGTAAATGGTATTGATCACATATGAAAGTTGATTTATTGCCAAAAGCCACTACCACTATGAAAACAATGAGCAGTAATCAAGAGGTATCAAGGGCCACTCTATTTTGATGGACAGAGGTCAACTCATCAATGGCACTCGTGTATTTTGATTTTTACCAGCAAGTGAGGCACATCATACTAAGATCATTAAATCACAGGTAAGTTTGAAGGAATTTTAGATATAAGAAGTAGCTTAGGCAACTGCAAAAACAAGTATCTACAGGAAGACAAGGTGCTGTGTTAGTACAAAAGTGCAAAAGGTCATTTGTTATCAAATGAATTCCCCCAATTTCATTACATTACCAACATAATTTCTAAAGTATCTAGTTGCAAACTTTAATTCAGTATCCTACAATTTTTGTTGCATAAGATTTAGAAGCTTATAAAGGATGTGAACACTAGTAAACTATGAAATATGCTCAATCTTCCAACTTCTAACCAAAAAACTTCTACATTTAACATTCATTATATGACATGCTCATGTGAAAAATAGTACAAACCTTTTGCTTATTGCAGATATTCATAAGAAAAACATTCTCTATTTTTGAAACTACAACAGGGCAATTGTTTTTGACTCTAAATTATTTGTTTTTAGCTTAATTCACCACTGTACTTTAAAATGGCACTTGAAAGTAATTGAACTGATTTGAATATATACCTCTGTTGTGTTTGTTAACACTTTATCGACTTTGGCTAGAGTAATACACAGATTAATTGACTCCTATACAACACCCAATAACATAACTAACAGTTTAGAAGTTGAGATAGCACTGTCATAGCTCTAGATAGGGCTAGTAATAACATTTTTTTTTTAAGGTACAGAGAATCATAGGTTATCAATCTTTCATCCCAAAGGGTTGTTAAATAAAAAAGCAGCTTAAGAACACTACAAAGTTTATTGCATATTAGAGTGCAGATATCCCTTGGCACATTCAAATCACAGAAGCGTGACAATAGCTCAGAATGAAAAATTAACCTTTACTCATGATCCAGAGAAGTGAATAGTTGAGCATCACTTTTAAGAACATAAATACCAAGCAAGTGAGCATCACACAATCATGGACCTCTCCACTGGGAACAAACCTTAGATCATTCTAAGTTCGGCATGGTTCAGCCCATGACTCCCGATTTCATTGAGTGCAAAATAAATAACAGATAAATTAAAAATCTGAGATTGTATTAAAGAGCAACAGAAAACTAGGGAATCAAAACTTTGCACACCAACATTCAAACTTATGCAAAAAGAAGTGAAGTACATCTGCACAGTCAAACTGCTACTAACATGCAGAAAAAAACAATCAATATCAACAAGCAGTACAAAATACTGATTCTTTTGAAATATAACAGAATTCAATTTAACAGATTTAACTAATGTTCAAACTAGTACTATAAAAGCCATGCCATTACTTTAAAATAACAAATTTATGGTGTTCTAGGTATAATAATCAGAATGTCATTTATGACTAAGATCACATAGAAAATTATTGGCACATTGCCCTCTTTGAGAGGCGTTCTTCACTAGCAAAGGAGATGACTGTAACAACTGAGATAGGAATGTAAGACTACAACTTGATGTAGAGATAAAACTCTCAAAAGAAATTATAAGTACTGAGTTGGTAACCTTCCTTGTTAAGCCCCTTCTCTCATACTTCTGGGGTACAATGCAAAGAAATGTACGATTGAAAGAAATAGAAGTAGCCTCACATACATGAGAATACACAAAATAATTAAAATACAAAAACAATCTCCACCTTAAAAGTGAAATGATGAGAAGTGTGATTGTTTGTTGATTAGCATTTGTACTTTTTATCTTTGTACCCAAAATTAACATTACAAAAATTGACCATTGATTTCTTCTATCTAATAAAATAAAATTGTCAGAAGCCACTTAGGATAGATCAAAATAAGAAACCTATGAGTACAATGGAAAAAGTTAATACATGCTTTTAAAAAATGGAAGAGTCAGAAAGAGCCCAGAAGGAAACAGAAGAGACCCTTTCCACAAGAGGTTCCAAGGAGTTGAGCCATACAGAACAGTCAAAGCTACACATCATGCTATGACATGGTTTCAAACAATCAAGAGATAAAAGTAATTATTGCTCAAAGATAAAAAGTTGTAATAACACATACAAATAACAGTTGTAAACAATTTGAAAATCACACAGAAGGTATTGCTGTGTAAGTACTGCTGTACAACAAATTTGAAATGGTTCTGCACCTGTAATTAATTCTCAAATTACACATCAAATGTGGTGTATACATTCATTACCATACACATAGATATCTACCAGTGCAAATGGAAGTTTTTAACCAAAATCATTAAGATGAGGATACTACAATCAGAAAATTCTGATCAGCTAATGAGTACCAAAGTAGAAAACAGGATTAAAATCACAGTACTCTCAATGCATTCATGATTAGAAAGCCGGTTACTCATCACAATACAATAAATTATGACAAATCAACAGTTACATACAAAAGTATGTAAATTTATTATGACCAGGGTTCATTATAACAACAACAAAAATTAAACTAGGAACAGAACCATTTTACAAGACAGACTCTAGTAACTCTAAATAAACACTTAATACAAACAAAACAACTACGTATATTGGTACTAGAAAATACCGGGTAACAACACTAAAAAGAGGTAAGAGGCAATGACAATGACCAGCAAGATTTGCAATTTTGTGTCAAGGCTGACAAACAGTATCGTATCTGACTCTCATACAAAAGTTAACTCCATTCCAAAAAGGGGGACTAAACTAAAAGATAATCCCATTTTTTAAACAAATAACAATAACACAAAAATATTGTTGAACAGATTTGATTTCATTATCAGAGTAATTTGTGTGTGCTTTGACACAATAAGCAAAATGGCTTATTGATTCCTGCCCTACCAGGCACTCATCCAGTTAGAGAAAAGACAATGTATCCTCCAATGGATTGAGTACTTGAGCATTAAAATGGTAAGGGAAATTAGAGAAGAATGTGAACTCATTCCTGTAGTAATGTTGAATGTGCTTCAACATCATGTCACAACCAATTCATTTAAATTTCAGCTAGAATAATTTAAGGGAATGACTAGATACCAGGATTCAATTAATCCACTACCTTGCTGATACCTACTATTGTCTCTTATCTTCTTTACCTTCGGCTTTTCCTCCCACTGCCATCATGAGACCAGTGCTTTCGTTTCTGAGAGCTGTTTGGCCGTTGCTCTGTAACTCGAACTGAGTCTTGCACACTAGTCAAGTGATTAATATCTATATTTGGTTTAAAGCTAGATATGGATCGGCGCTTCGGCTTCAATTTCACAGATCGGCTGTTGATAGAGCCAGCTAAAGATGAGCTACCTTTTGATACTTCTACGCCTAAAACTACATTGTTGTTATTTCGAATAACTGCAAGATCAGCCAATATCTCTGCTTTCATAATGTTTTTACGATCCAACAATTCTTGCTCTAGAGCCAGCTTTTCCCGCTTGCGAATTGATCGCAACTGTTGTTGCCGTGGCGTATCCGAACTGTCAGATGGTAGCCTAGATTTGAAAAAAGAATTTTTCAGAATACTTAATTGAATATGGATTGTACTACAACAAGTAGATTTCTTACCTCTGACGCCTGGTTCTCTTGGAGAAAGAACTTTTCTCTGGACTAACATGGGGCCTGGAACCAATATGGCCTGATTCAGAAGGTGAATTAAGCTTTGCTCGGTACCCAGCCAAGTTCAGAAGGGCATCTGCAGCCCCTTCTGCGATGCGTCTCTGTTCTTCTGCATCAGATGGAACTAACTCATCAGGTAGACTTGGATGACCAGGAGTAATTTCAGTACTAAAAAAGGAAATAATAATGATAATTGTTGACAACAATCAAGACAATACGATCGGACAACAGTCCACATGTAAAAGACAATGAAATTTATTGCTGCTGGCAACCATACCCATCATCAGTGTCTGACCCTTCACCATATGCCTCATCAGGTGACATGTTAGCGCCTGCACTGTACGTATGATCTTCACTAGGAGATGATGTTATGACGGGGACAGCAATAGAAGACTAGAATACATAACAATTATAAAATGTTAGCTGCGTGAAATGGATTCATCCCAGTTTTTAGAGGTGTGCAAGAACTAACCTTTCGAGTTCTCTGGCTATTCATCTTCCTTACATACGAGCGTTTGTAGATGTCTTCTGAAAAAGAATAAGTTATTAAGACCTAAGATAAGGTGTGCAGTGAACAGCAACAAGAGAGATTCTTGTAAAGCAAAGGTACTAAATGTAGGTAATAAAAAGTTGTAGCTACATTACCTGTTTTAGATCCAAGTACTCGTGGACCATGCTTTAGAGACAACATTGCTTGAGCTGCATCAACTTCATCTTCTTCATCGTCAGAATCACCTTCATTATTTTCTCCCAGACGAACAACCCCAGGAATTTCAACTCCTGATGCTGCTAAGCGGCGGCTGAGGAAAGGAAACAGCTCTGCATTTGGTAGCCGTGACACTTTGTTGAGAGTCTTGTGATTTACACTACTCATATATTTAGAGGAATTTCCATTGGCTTTCATTTCAGAGCTTCCTAAATTAGATAAGCTGAAAGGAGACAAGATTACTGATTAAATACAACACCAGACACATGTCTAGGTTTGGGATGTTAATCACCGTGTACCTTCCCATGCACTTAAAAAAATACAACAAATAATCAAGTAGAAGGTGGCATCAGAGAATAGGATAGGGATGGGATGAGAAATGGGGAGCATGGAACATCTAGACAAGAGATAAAATAACTTCTATGAGAACGTGAAGGTTCAAAAATTAAACAAGATGTTATCAAGACAAAAAATATCTAATAGCACATCTATCACTAAGTACTTACTTGTTTGATGGGCGCTCCAAAAATGTTAGATTATTAACAGGTGCTTTGCTTATAGATTGGAGCAGATTTGGGCGAAAAACTGGGTCAACCATCCATAGTGATCCCTTGCCAAGATGCTGAAAATGAACGATAGATTACAATAACAATGGAAAGAGAGGAACAAGAAATCAAATGAATTAATGTGTCAAAAAACTTACAGGTGCTTTTTCGACTTTACAGAAACATTTGTTCAGAGATAGATTGTGCCTGACTGAGTTCTTCCACCCGGTTGGAGCATTGCGATAAAATGGAAAGTGAGATTGGATCCAATTATAGATTTGTTTCACAGGTAGAGCACGAGCTGGTGAGTCTTCTATAGCCATGAATATCAAACATGAGAAGGAGTATGGCGGCTTAGAATTGATGTGAACCTATTCAAAAAAATGAAAAATAATTGATTAGTTAATGCCAAGTTGTAGGTAAAATTTTAAAAGCAGGAATATTAAATTAATTTGATTGTACCATTGGGTCATATGGTATATGATGGGGATGCTTCAACTTTGATGTCTTGACAGACTTTATGACGGATTGCTCATTATCAGGGAAGGATAGAGCACGATTACTGTTACCAATGTTGGGACTAATACTTTGTTCAATTCCAGATGAACTCGTGGAATCGCCCCTTTCACTCTTCTCACTGATGCTGCTTCCATCCTCAGCAAAGTCACTTGTTGGGGAAGTCTGAGCAGCTCCAGGCTTGAGATTTATACCTGTATATAAAAGCAAAAATCAACTTTGGGGAAAGGTCAACAATGGTACAGTTTAAAGACGTTTCTGAAAGCTGCTACAAAACAGACCTTTGAGTATATTTTTGTTTTGAACAAGCCATGATAAGGATGTGAGATCATCATCTTCAACTCCAACTTGCTCCTCAATAAGAGTGCCATCCCCTTCCTGAAATGCAAGGGAAATGTTATATTTAACAAAAAAACAAAACAAAAGCTTAAGTGGATAGGAGTAAAAGAAGACCTTTACCTTTAAAATAAGAGGACTTGAATTCAGAGAGAACATGTGGGCGATTGCAACACCTGAGCCATCTTCCAGACATGGTCTTTCTGGAGCCATCTTGCAGTCTTGTCATAGACCTAAAAAAATATTTTAAAAAATGTTTGATTAAAATTAGAACTGTTTTAAATGACGAAATTATAACAAAATTTTGTTCTGTCCCTGAATTATTTGTATTTAAAAAGAAGGCAAAGTTTAATAAAGGTGGAATGACATTTTTCATCCTACGCATTACTTTCACGGGGACCATGAAAGGCTTGTTCGTTTTGTTGGCATTATTTGAAGCCGTACAAAAAGTCCATTGAATTCCAAGTTTCTGCACGAATTCAAGTCAGGTCATGTTCAAAAGGCGCTCGCGCCCTGCGCCCGGGCGGCCCGGGCCTCAGCCCACCCCCGCCCCCGCCCACGGAGGGGACCTGTCTCCATGGCGACCCCGCGCAAATGTGCCCTCTCTCCCACCCCTCACAGTCCGCGTAGCCCCTCCGTCGGGCCCCTCGGGCACTGCGCTCCGCAGAAAAGTTGGCAGAAAAACGTGTTTGCGCACATTTCACAGGAAACAATATCCCTTTAAAGGAAACAATATCTCCTTTCCCCCCTTGAAGGTGCCACCGCACGTGCAGCAGCACAGGGAACGCTTTATCACTCCAAACACCGAACTACCGAACAAACCAAGGAAGAGAGGGGGGGGTGTCAGAGTCGAGTGTGCATAATAATGCTCAAAAGCATCAGTCTCAGCTCCTAGCGGTCCGCACCGCAGGACCGCCGCGGCCATCGCGCGAAATCAGATACACACTCTCCACGCGCGAACCGCGATAAACCACACCAATCAATATGGAGCGCAGGCACGGCGGGTGGCGCAGCGCAGCAGAGCGAGGCGCAAGGGACGTATCGCGAGGCGTATCTCTGGCGACACGTATCCGTCGTCGGCCGGCGGGGAAATAGACAGACGCGTAGCCGACGGGCCGCAACAAAGTTTAATCGTTTTCCGAAAGAGTAGAGGCTACGCATTTCACTGGTGAAAAGTGAGCGCGCGTGTCTGTGAAATTGCCTTGGAAAAAGAGTGGAGCCGCGACCCGCCCCAGCAAGAAGCCCCGCGAGCCGCGACCCGCCTCACTTAAGGGCCGGTCGCGTGTAACTGGGCGCGGGGGCGGGGGCACGACAGGTAACGCCATTGCGTGCAAGCGGTGCAATACACTTCCGGGCGTCTCGGCACGCCTTCCAGGCACGCCAGGGGCACGAGCAGGCCGCGGCGACCCCCTCCTCGGCCTGATCAGACTCACTTCGCTCACTTCCAAAATGAAAAGCGTTACCGACCCCC